CCAGGGCATTAACTTGGGCTGGCCCAAGTGCAGTGGCCCACACAGGTAATCGCAGCACTTTGGGAGGCCAAGGTGAGAGGATTGCTTGGGCTTAGGAGTTCCAGACCAGCCTAGTCAACATAGCGAGATCTTGTCTCCACTAAACATTTTACAAATCAGCCACGTGGTAGCACGTGCCTATGGTCCCAGCTGCTCGGGGAAGCTGAGATGAAAGGATCATTTGAACCTGGGAGATCGAGACTGCGTTGAGTCATAATTGTGCCACTGCACCCCAGCCTGGCCGACAGAGCAAGACCCTGTCTCAAAACTAAAATAAAAATAAAAATAGGCCAGGCGCAGTGGCTCACACCGGTAAAATCCCAACACTTTGGGAGGGAGTTTGAAACCAGCCTGGCCAACAAGGTGAAACCTCATCTCTACTAAAAATACAAAAATTAGCCAGGGGTGGTGGTGGGCGCCTGTAATCCCAGCTACTCGGGAAGCTGAAGCAGGAGAATTGCTTGAACCTGGGAGGCAGAGGTTTCAGTGAGCCGAGATTGTGCCACTGCACTCCAGCCTAGGCAACAAGAGTGAAACTCTATCTCAAAATAAAATAAATAAAAATAAGTTGGGCCACGCTGATTATTTCCTGGCCCCACGCCTAATATTTTATCCATTGAAAACCTGCCAAAGTGCAACTGGGACCAGCTTTCTTTAACGGGGGCAGCAGAGAGGGCCTGACTGGGATGTTGCTGTGTGTTTGCTACCAGTGTAAGTTTCTGGGTTTCTGTGGACGCATGAATATGTGGAGTAGGAGACGGTGGTCTTGTCTGCGTGGCTGGACTGCAAGGTCTTCCTCGATGTCTGTTGCTCAACACTGTAGAGAGGCAGTGTGGGGGTGCCTGTCCCACCTCTCCCACCCACAGGATGTGTGACCTGGGGCAAATGACTCACCTCTTTGTGCCTTAGTTTCTTCATGTATATAAAAATTGGATGATGATAATAATAGGGTTATTCTGAAGATTAAATGAGATTGCCCATGTAATGTGCTTAAAACACTGCTGGCCACTTATGAGAAAGTAGCTAATACCATCAGCTTATATGTAGTAGACATGCTTAAGTGTGTAACCTGTGGGTTTCTGTATATTTACACAGGACACCTGTGGTGTACAATGGAGAGGATATGAGGGCCTGGCGGGGACGAGCTCTCTGTGATTTGTGGAGGAGATGCACTTATATAAGTATGTGCACAAACGTGTGTGTGCTTGTGTACACATACGTGTGTGTTGTGTGTACAGCAGATGCATGCGCCTTCTGCACATGTGTGAGGACGTTCACTGCCAGGACCCAGGTTACCACTCAGACAGTCTCCATCCCTAGGATAAGTCATTGAGGCTCACGTGTGCCTTCATCTGTACAATGGGTGGAGCCACTACCCCAAAGGGAGCTGTGAGGCCCAAGTGAATTGAGGATGTGAAGTTCTGAGCCATTGCAAAGTGCCAGTTATATAGTAGTGGCTTGTGCTATGTGTTCTGAGAGAGCCGAGCTTACTTATTGACACTCCTGGGTTCCTAAGTGCCAAGGCTGTTTGTGTGGGCTGCAGAGTTCGCCCTGGTGTACCAAAGATCCCAGCCTGTTGTAGTCAGAAGAGCCAGAATTGGAAACCTACCAAAGCGAAACTGGGAACAGCCTTCTTCACTGGGGGCAGCAGTTTCAGTTCAGTTTCTTCACTGGGGCATCCAAGGCCCAAAGAAGGGTAAGAACTTGCCTCAAGACACCCAGCACGCTGGAGGCAGAGATGGGGTTAGATCGAACCAGTCTCTCTTGTCCTTCTGGCATAGTGGGAGAACCCCCATAGGGGTCAGGGGTTGCAGCCTCACCCCTCACTGCTCTGCCCTCCCCGCCTTCCCCAGCATCCAGCCGTCACTGCTCCAGCAGGAAGGTGTGTGTTTTGGCAGCCGCACTGTCTGGGCTGCCTGTGGTGGGAATTCCACATGTCTGGAGAGGACCCGTCTGCAGTAGTCCAGTCCCAGCCCCCAGCCCTGCTTCACCGACTGGTCCAGGGTTTGGCCTGCTTCCCCGAGACTAGGTTCAGCCTGGGAATCCTCAGAGGTTGCTAGAAGAGTAGTCTGAGGATTGCAAATTCTTCATCTGTGTTTTTGATATAACACCTTTCTGTTGTAAGTCTATCCCCTTGTATTTCAAAAGTAATGCTTGTTATTTTTGGGGAATACAAGTAATGAAAGAGAAGAAAATTGAACTCTTAACCTAGGACTTCAGCAACTCAGAGACCAATGAGACTTTACACACACACACACACACACACACACACGTCCATTATCTACATACTCATACATTCACCTGGGGACACATGTGATCCAAGAACACTCAAACACACACGCATGTAAGTATGCTTGTACATTCATACACAAGTGCATACTCTCATAAGTACACACGTACACACAAACACATTCACACACACACTCCTAGACTGCATACTGTGTGCCAGCCACTGTACTAAGGCTCCACAAATGTTCACTCATTTCATCCTCGAAGCAAGGCTACAATGTAGGCACCATTATTTCTCCCATTTTACAGATGAGGCACACAAAGGTTGAGTAACTTTCCCAACACCTAGTTAGTGAGGGGGTGGGATAATGGAGATTTGAACCCAGATTTGTGGGCTTAATTAATTTGCTGATGAATAG